GATAGAACATTGCTAACTTTGAGACGCTGTAACCAAACCAGCAGCCACAACACCAGCCCTACGTGCTTAATAAAACTTTAATAAGTAAACTGCAGCCAAGCCACAGAACCAGACCTGGAATCCCAACCTGGCGAGCACGTGGGGGGCGGGTACGAGCCATGGTTGAGCAGGGACACTTCAGGTCTAGATGAGATCTGCCGGGGGGCAGTTGCCATTCCCCCCTTCGCATTGTCTTGGTGACACTCAGAAATTACCTTGAAATGGTCTCCTAACACTGGCCTGCCCAGCCCTGCCTGTTGGAGCACACATACGAACATCAGTCTTTCCGACTTCCCGATTCACGAGCCACTGAGGGCTTCACTTCTTGGTAGAACCGCAATCACCACGCTCCCTGTCAGAGTCACCCAGAGACAGCCTGCCACCAGCCTCTGTTCTTGCTGGGGAGTTAGGTGACTCAGGGTGAACCGGTCATCCCAGCTTTCCATGATAAAGAATCTCTCCTGTCCCAGTCTGGATTGTCTTTAAAGAAAAGGGGGACAATAGAACAACACGTCCCTGAGTGCCACCTTTCCATTCCCCAGAACTAGCCGAGCTAAGGGAACAGATGAGCAAGGCTGGGCAGGAAGTGCAGCAGGTGTCTTCCTGAAGGGCCCTGGCATCTCTCAAGCACACTGGGAACCAGGACAAGCGAATGTCATCTGCAGAAAGGTGCTTTTCACACCTACGCCAGGGCCGCTGCTCCCTGGGATTTGGCTCATCCAAGCAGACTGAGTGCGTGATGCTCACCACGCCCCTGCGCCTACGCCTAACTGAGAAGCGTCTGGGGCAGAGCGAGAGCCCTGGGGAAAGGACACGCATCACTCACCAGCCACTGGCCCTGGGCAAATCCCCGTGAGGGAGGAAGGTAGGCAGTGAGGGGCAGGAGACTGTCACCACTAGACCTTCTCATAAACGTTTCTCAGTACAGCCTGGTGCCTTGAAGGCCATCTCTGGGTACTGACTTTGGCCTCTTGACAGCCTGGTCCCACTGCCCTAGTCTGACTGATGCAGGGAACGGACAGCTGGTCACCCTAGCTAGATGCTATATGGACTGACATGAGCCTGGGGAGCAGGAGCAGGTGGAGAGCCACCAATCAAAAAGTCCATTCCACTAGAGCCTTTCTCTAGCCCAGAACACAGAGAAGATGCCGGAAGACTCTCCTGCTGCTTTCCACCATATTGAGGTTAGCAGAGATGGCTAATGGATGGAGAGACCCTCTTCGACCTCACACAGGATTGTCCTCCTCTGGACTTCTCATTGCGTGAGATACTTAAATCACTCTATAGCTCATGACCATATTTTCCAATCAGAAACCCACTGAGCTTCTGGACCTCAAAACTCAGCCTCTGGGGGCACCTGAAGGATGAATGAAAAGCACCTGCTTCAATTATCACTTCTGTTTTGTGCATGAGGAAATTAAGTTCAGAGTAGTAAAGCCACTTGCCCAAGGTCACACAGTAAATTCTACAAGTAGGACAGGATCCCTGCTATGCCTGATCCTATAGGTCTAGATTTTAGATATTACCTGACTCTCTTCTTTCAAGGAGACTTCAGGGAAGGCTTAGGTCCAGACGAGGCCCCCCTGGTCACCATCCCATAGCACAGAGCACTCGTCTTTCCTAATACTTTATACACTTGTCTGCCTTCTCTTTGGGGTCAGGCTGCTTTAGCTGCTGCTCACACTCATAGAGGAGTTTGTGTCTGTCTATAACTCCCCAAGATCACTTTTCTCAGGCCTAATTCTGGAGCCCCAGAGAAGGGGTTTGTTAGCCCAGCATGTCCAATCCTGAGCTAAACGGCGCGTGACTTGGCAAAAACAGCCGTTAGAAGAGTGTGACCGCAACACGAGCTGCTGGCCCAAAGGGTAGAGTGGCTTACATACGACAGAAATTTATTTTTGTTCCATGTAAAAGTCCAGGGGCGTCGTTCTTGATCTATATGGTAATTTCCCTCAACTCAGTAGTTTGCAGACTCTGGTGACACCAATGTGTGCCGCCCCAAACCTTTTAAGGTCGTCTCCATCCCCAAGAGCTGGGAGGAGGAGACTGCATGCAGAAGTGGGGGTTTGGCCCCACCTGGGAGCGCCACGTGCGGCTCTTATTCCTGAGCTGGCGCTCAGTTGTGTGACCACACTTACCTCTAAGGAAGCTGGCAAACGCACCCTGGCTCCAAGAGGAAGTGGGTTTTGGTAAAAGTTTCTTCCACTGTGGGGTGGGCAGTGCCCGCAGGACACTGGAGCAGGCAACACAAGGTCCCCCGCCACCCCTCCTGTCATCATGCCTAATGACCTTAGAGAGCTCCCTCAGGAGTTGCCTTGGATGCCCACCAGTGTCTGGAAGAGTCGTTCATCCCATTCACATGCAGATCATCCCCTTAGAGGCCACCTCCCTCCTGGCCATGCGGGGGCCACAGGTGTGTACAGTGGCCACTGCCTGAACAAGCTTCATCAGCAGGCGTCTCTCCCAGCTCTGCCGGAGACACACGGGGTGTCCTGGTATTTAGTGATACAGGCATCCCCGTGTTTATAGTTCCCAACTGTCACCGCGTGGCACCAGCCTAGGTGTCCATCAACAGACGAGTGAGTTAAGGAAATGTGGCGAGTAGCACAGAGGAGCTCAGCCAAAACCAACAGGAAAATGATGTCATTTGCAGCAAAATGGATGGAGCGAGAGAGCCTCGTGTTACGTGAAAGAATCCAGACTCAGAAGGTCAAGGGTCATGTTTGCTCTCATACGTGGACGTGCAAGAGAAGAAACGGGAAAGTGAACATCATGAAAAGAGAAGGGACCAGCAGAGTAGAGAAAGGGCCTCGGGAGGGGGAGGGAGGGAAGGGAGGGGAGGGAGCGAACTTGACCAGATGAGCATGCACAAGTGGACCTCCGTGAGTCTTACTATTGGGCATAATTACAGTGGACCAATAAAAAAAAATTTTTAAATAATTTTTTTCCTAAAAATGTATATTATGTTGAGGCATAAAGGTTAAAAATGTAATTGACTTTTATCATTCTTGGTTCACTTTTCCACAATAGGGAAATAGAAGTCACAAGATTACACTCACCAAATTCCTTCTTTGTAGTTTTTCAAAATTAAATTTCCATCAAGAGCCTCCTACCAAGAAAACATGATGATCCCAACACTGAGCATGGGAGCTCATCCAGCGTTCACTCCCAGGCCCCTTGAGGACCCGTGTCAAGTTGGATGTGGAATAGAAGCCACAGATTTGCACAAACTCAAGCCCACCCATCATGGAATGAATAGCTATTGCATGACTATTGAGCCAGGCATCCTGCTGCCTACCGTGTACTAAAGGGAACGCAGAATATGGAGAATGTGAAAATACACTGCTTTATCTCTGGACATTGAGAACCGGATTCAGCTCACAGGCTCTGCTCGCATATTTACAAGGCTTCTGTCTCCTCCAGATTGTTCAAATGCCAACCAGCAGCAAATGCTCATTGACCACACGTGGGTCTGCTGTGGCCTCGCCACACCTGCACGCAAGGTGCTCTGATGGTACCACGTCCCCTTAACACTCTCCTGCCCTGCCCTGGTCTCGTCCCCTTCCCTAGCAGCCCTGTTCTGCATTCAGGTTGCTTCCCCACCCCCACCCGGATCCCACACATGAGCGACAAGGACACTGTCCTTCTGAGCCTGGGTTCCTTTTGCTTAACATCAATCCTCCAGCTCCGTCCATCTTCCTGCAACTGACCTGTCTCCCTGTTCTTGGTGGCTGAGCCCACTGCGCTCACATCCACATTTGCTCTGTCCAGTGTTCTGAGAGGCAGCCAGGCTGACTCCACAACTTGGACTTTTAAAACTTGTTGCCTCTTCTAACATTTCAGGATAGCTGGTTTCAGAATGGTTCAAAGAAAAGGTAGAATTCAGCAGTTACCTAGTTCTTCAAAATTAAATGACAAGGTTACATGCTAGTGACAGACGTTAATATTACACAGTTTTAATCCCAGAAAGTAGATGGGGTCAGATTCTGCCGTCAAATGCACATTGAAAGGCTGTTCTTCCCCAGCTTTCCTGTTCGAAGCCCACCTCGTAAGTCTGTGGTTAACACTGCCACTTTGTCGTTGGCTGGGAGCCAATCCCTGCATCGGGGCTCTTCATCAGCTTTGTTCCCCAGGGGAATGTTTGGAAGACAGTTTTGGTTGTCATGACTGGTGAAAACTGTCTTCACCATATAGTTAATAGAAAATTGCTTATTTGGGAGCAAATAATGCTAAAAGCAGCCCCTTCTAAATAAGCAATTATCCAGCCTGAACTATGGATACTGTCGAGCACTTTGGAAATAACAAATAGATGAAGGCAAAGAGCAATTAATTTACCATATTTTTCATTTTTGCTTCCAAGATTATAACCAGCACTCACAAATGCTATCATCTGTGACACAGGGCATGGCATGTGAGGGGCAAGTCAGGCTGTCCAGACCTTAGTGAGCTGAGCAGCCAAGGCAGAGTCCCTCGGGAGTCTGAATAAGGAAAGGGTTTAGAAAGGAGAGGCCAATGGCTCTCTAAGAGAAGACCAGGGATGGGAGAGGGAGGGAGGAGAGGAGCAGCCTCCGTGTGGGGGAGAGAGACGTCCAACACAGAAGCCAGCGTCCCGAGAGCTGGCCTGCTTTTTTGTCCACTTGTGACCTAGACCAGAGAGCATCAGCAGCAAGAGGGGACCAAGCACCAGCACTCGCCGCCCACCCAGGAAGGTTGGTTGCATTGTTTGGAAGTTTTATTCATCTAAGTCCTGACATCGCACAGTATAAAACGTTGCTCTGCACACACACGGTTCAAAAATATGTGATGCCCCTGAACTGTAACCTTAAGGGAATCACATAATGGCAAAGCCAGCAGGGAAAGGTGGTCACAGCCTGGTCACATTGTTGCCACGAGCAGATGATATTTGAGCTCATTAAGCAATAAAAGCCACAATCCTCCGTCCATGACCCAAAAAACACACATCAAACCACCAAATTTCAATTTATTTGAAATTTCCTCAAATAAACTATGGTGACTCTTGCCTGTGATTTTAACGTGGACAGTCGTTATAATTTAAAACATTTTTGAAAAATGTCCTCTGATAAGTCAGGTGACCGTGATGGGTTGGTTAGTGTGCTGAAACAAATACACCCCAAAATCAATAACATTGGAGAAGAAATGAGAAATGGAAAATAAAACAAATAGCGCCAAGCCCTTGCCTTGGCGGGCTGAGACTTGTGAAAAGCGACACTAGGAGACAAGATAGTCTTTAACCCAGGTATACACGTAGGTTCAAAGATTCACCTGGCAAAGAAAGTTGGGGTGGTGGCAGTGACTTGCCCAGGATTTCTCCTGACAATGTGTCCCTAGACAAGGGTGGTGGCTGCTTCTGCCCTGCAGGAATTCAGCCCCCATTTCTGTGTTTCCATATGGGCTGTGTGGACCTGGAGCGCAGGTGCAAGACCTCGACACCAGCAGAGAAGCCAGAGGGGGGTTGTGAGCGGCCTCCAGACCCCAGCTCCGGCATCCCAGGCAAGGTGGCAACGGCTGGAGGAAGAAAATCCACCAACTTTCCCCCTCAGTGAAAAGCATCTTTCCAACACCTCGTTGCACTTAATTGCACATGAATGTGGGTGCAATACCTCCTGCATACCCCGTTCTTTCTCTGGAAAGAAAAGCCAAATTAACCAAGTGCAGACTTTTCATGAGAAGGGAGAGAGGGTGGTGTTAGTCTAGTCACTGTGCAGCCACATGAGCGTGTGGACACAAGCCAGTTCTCGGTCCCCAGCTGAGGAGCGGGGAGGAGCTGCATCAGTCAGATGGACAGGGTGTCTTCAGTGACCGAGTTCCGAGGACTTCCCTGGCTCCTCCTACAAGGCAGAGGGCAGGGGAAGTAACAAGGAGAGAGGAGAAATCAATCCCTCAGAAATTAACCAAAACTTCCAGCTTCCCTAGAGATCAGCTAGGATTTCTGCAAGGCCCAAAGCTCCGTAAGGGCATCATGATACCTGAGAGCCTTTGGCTCATTTTAAGAGTCAACCCGGTTCTTCCCCTTGCCCTCCCTCCCCGCCCCCAGCCCCTTGCTGTGCTCTAGTGGTCTTCTCCTGTTCACTGGTTGGTTTGTTAATTGGTGCAGTAAGTGATGTAGAGAAGTGGGATTCACTGTCATCCATCCAAACATGTACGTGGTCAGCTTCATCCTGTGGCTCCTCCCCTTCCCACCCCCACCCCTCACCGTCCTCCACTTTACTGCCTTCCCTTCTATCTTCACAAGTTCCCCCATTTTTGGACCTTTTCACAAATAGTTATATTGGGCTTACCATTCTGGTGTGGGTAGTGGAGCGAGACATCTCTGTACTTTCCGTTTCAACACCCCTCTGCACCCTGCTAAACCACTTCTTGTATTCCATTCGCACCTAGAAGTTTGAGAAATAGAGGAGCTTGTGTTACAGACAGAGCTTGGGCCAAGAGAACGCTGATGACATCGGACACCATAAGGACTTGATATATGATGATAATGCAGGTGATAATGCAAGTGATGGTGATGGGGTGGTGATGGTGGTGATGGTGATAGTGATGATGATGGTGGTGATGGTAATCCTCAATAGTTAATTTGCAGATGAGAAAATTGAGGCTCAAGGAGAACAGGCATACTATACTGCCCAAGGTTACATAGCAACCTATTCAGTAGTAGACCCAGGATTAGTGATAAAGTCTCTCTGAGCTTGTAGTATATTTACCAAATATTCCAGTGTCCCTCCTCATTACAGGAGGATTATTCATCCCCTCCCTGGTGAGCTCAAATATAACCATGCAGTTTCCTTTGAACAATGAAATGGTAGCAGAATGGATGGACGTGTGTCACAGCCAAGCAGAAATATTAAGTGGGGTAGGCTACATTTGGTCGTGATCTCTTTTCTGACTGCCATGAGACCAACAATATTGTAGGCAGGGAGCCATACCATAGCCTGAGTGAAGACCATGTAGACCAAGCCATACTCATGTAGCATAAACAAGAAATGAACATTTATCGTTGTAAAACATTGAGACTGGGTGGGGGGGATTATTAGGAAAGGACTATTTGTTAATGCAGCATAGTCTACCTTATCCTGACTGACACATGTTCTTAAGAGATATGTCAGGATACTAAATGGGTGAAACCCCAAGGGCACAGCATGCTCAAGGAACCCCTGAACCCCCTTCTCAAATAGAAGGCAACATCTCAGTACAAATACGAAAGGCCAAGGAAAGGCAAGAATGCACACAGCCATTCAATAGGACGAGGGGCTAGGCTGGGAAGACCAACACTTAGTCTTACCTGGCGATTAAGGAGGCAGTGAACCACGAAAAGCAAAACCCCCTGCAGGACATTGGTGATGGTGAACAGGTAGGCGATGACCAATCCCACCGTCTGCCCTACTTCTTCAACCATGAAGAAACCAAGGCCCCAGGAACATCCCAGCACAAATAGCTGAGCAATGGCCTTAAATGTCATGACCCTGGGGAAAGAGCAACAGTAGCTACAGCTTAACTGAACACGGTGAGTTTGGTGAGCACAGGGCCTCATCTAACCTGATAGCAACCTTCAGTTAGTGACTGACACAGGGTCTGCACAGCCTGAGGGTCAGGCAGGTGATGGTGATGGTTCTCAAACACCTCTGCTAAGAATAATGCTTTCTCCCACCCTCGGAAATGATTTTTCTGCAAAGTCTTCTAGGTGGCCTTACTGGAAAATCTGCAGAAATGCTTTCTAAAATTTGTGTTGAAAGATTTTGGATGAGAGGGATGTCCTGTCTTCAGAACACAATGCAACAAAGAAAAATAGTATTCGATAAGATGGAGTGGGGCTGCCCTGGCCACTGGCTGGGAGAGTCTGTGTGTGTGTGTGTGTGTGTGTGTACACGTGTGTGAAGCATGAACCTTCACTTGCACATACACACGCAGGGGATAGGGAAACAGCAAGAAGAGAGAGGCTAACCCTCCAGGACTGAGGAAACAGAGGACAAGTGATGTTAAGTTGGTCGATAAGTGGATGAGACCAAAGTCAAGGCCCAAGGCTGGAGAGATTCTACTGCAAGTTGTACCCATATCCCTGCCACTCTTGGGGAATCGGGGCAGTTGGTTGGTTGGCTCATTGGGAAGAGTAATGTCCACCTCATAGGCTGGAGTTTATTGGTAAAGGCCAGTATCTACCCTTGTTGTGATGGAGAATTTAGATGGCACCACTGAGAACAGTTTCTACAATCAAGGAGAGTGGGTTCCAGAGGTAGTGGACTCTCAGAGGTTAGAAAAAGGATAATATTGATACTCTAGGTAGCAATTCAATATGAAGAATGTTATACCAAGGAGACATTCAATCAATGTTTCTTGAATAAAGAAATAAAGCAATGGATCAAACTATCTGAAAATCATGGTGTTTACTTCTTTTGGGGAGGGGGTCAGGGGGCATTTCTGGACTTGAAACTAGGCATTTGCTTGTGTTAGGCAAGGCCAGGCCTCCACCACTGAACGTCCACAGCCCGGTTTGAACTTCTGTAAATTGTCCCTCTTTGTCAGGAATAAGAAGAACATCTGACTTTTGTCTGGGGCAGAACCCAGGGCCTCTGTGTCTAGGCCAGCACCACCTACCACTGGACTACACGCCCAGCCCTGTGTCATGTTTGTGAATAGACTTACTGTTTCCTGCCGGACAAATCCGTGGCTATCACCAATTCCAGTAACTTCTTACCTGGTGTCCTGAATGGTGGAGACCTCTTTATTGAGGGAGGAAAGTTTGCTTCTCAAAATCCACAGAATTTGGAAGTACAACACCAAGTTTATCTGTGGAAACAGCATAGAAAAAAAAATGGCTTGGAATTTTCTTTCAATTCCATTTCAAACAACCCAACTTGATCTGGAGCTGAGAATCTTTTTCCCAAAGGACACCAGCTCCGTAGGGTCACCAGGGACATGCTCAGGTCTATCACGTGCTGCCCAGGGCTCAGTCCTGCAGTGCTCCATAACTTATCATCCAAATGACATTCGGAGAGGGGGAGGCTGCTACCGACACCTACACCAGGCAGCAGGTGTAACCGGGACGTTCCTGGCAAACAGAAGACTGGGTTGCTCTGTGCATGTTATTGAATGAATGAGTGCAGGGCTTTCTAAAGGCTGAAAATGCAGCAAAGGGCTACGTTATTCAAAGAACAGCTGGTGCACTAGGAGAAAGCCGTAGCAACAGGACTGATGGCAATATTTTCAGAAACAGAGTTTGGTCATGTTGAGCTGCATTTTCTTATCTTTATCTCATTTCCACTTTAGCAGATAAGAAACACTCTCTATGCTAGGTCAACCCAGGGCCAGCACGCCCATAAATAACTACCACCTACCAAGATAATGAGGGCCACTGGCCCCATGAAGCTCCAGATGAATCCTTCATCGAGCTTGAGCCAGCAGCTGTGGAGCAAAAGGCAAGCATTAGCTGGGCTTCCTCCAGAGGGGAAGGGGTTTGCATAGAGGCTCCTGGAGCAAGATCCCAGCAGCCCAAAGAGCCACTGAGTTTAGACCCCAGGCTTTAGACATGACCTCATCTAACACGAGCTGTGTGCACCGAGTCTTGGCTTCCCTAAATGTAAAGTGCGACTAGTCAAAGCACTGGGAGATTAAGTGACTCACGTGGCTGTGCACTAAGGCTTGAAGTCAGGTAACGCCAGTGATCCAACCTTGCCTTTCTTCAATACTGCACTGGCTAACTGTGTCTTCTTCCTCTTCCATGTAAACTTTAGAATCACTTCATCAATATCCAGAAATACTTTGGTGAGCTTTGGATTGGGAATGCATCAGATCTACAGACTAAGTGGGAAGAACTGAGGTCTTGACTGCATTGAACCCTCCTATCCATGAACATGGAATATCCTCTCCTTTTATTTCCATCTTCTCTGATTGCCCTCACTAGAGTGTTGTCATTTCCTCACACAGAACTTGTACGAAAGATTAGATGTAATTGTGTGTGAAGCTTTTGGAGGCAGCTCCTGGCAAAGAGCTAAAGTTCCATCAATGTAGTTGCTATGGCAATAATGATTGTCATAATGAGAGGGAGAGTAAAACACAATAATTTAACTACTACCATAAAATAACCAACACTAATTGAACATTCATATCCAAAGCTCTGTTGCTCAACCACTGTGTGTTCTGTCATGACGGATGTTGGTAAAGGTAGTATAATTTATCCTAGAAGGAGACCTGGCAGTGTGAATCTGGAAAAAATAACAAGCCTCAGCTAACAGGGGGCAGAAAAACTTCCACACCTAAGTTCTAGCACAAGGATTGCAAACTAGAAGCCCAGGGGTTAATCTAAACTACCACTGTCTATTTTGAAACACAGCTGCACTGAGACATTGTTCTGCACAGAGCTTGGCAAACTTCTGCCGCGAGGCAGCAGAACACGGCTGCTGAGGGCACCGCCTGGGAATTCTGGCTTCCTCCCTTTGTAACTCTGATCTTGGGGAAAAGCATGAAGTGCGGAAAGCCCCCGATGCCTGTGCATGGGGTAGTAAACTGACAAGTTCATATTCGGTCAGGGTGAGAATGACATGAGCTGCCACATACAGGAAGCATGATCTCTGACCTGTCACCAGCCTTCGAGAGTTGAGACAGTCGTTATTCTTTGTGGTTTGGAAATTAATCTCAACCCATTCCACCTATTTTTTTCAAACTCCTACCGAACACATTGCCCTCAGGTTCTGTGTGGAGCCATGGATTTGCTTTACCTCTCCCTAAATTTCCAGAAGTTGTATTCAAATTTTTGTGTGCATATGAATTGGTTGGGGGAATGGAGCTCTGGTTTTCATTATCAATGGGATCCAACCCCAAAGATGGTGATAACCACTGCTCTAGGAATTGCCAAAGTAAAACAGTACTGGGGCTTCAAGAAGGACTGGTTTGAAGAATAATTCACCATTTTCATTTCGAAGCTCACGCGGACTGCAAATACCCTTCCCACCACAAACACACATCGCGCTTACTGAGTATATGTGCCATAGTTTTGGTGTCCAACTATCGCGGACACAATGACAATCACAGCTGGGATGCCGTAGCCCAGGGGGTACATGAACCTCTTCTTGAATCTTCCCGTGCTGGTGTAGTTGGCCACTTTAAGATTCCTGACGGTGAGGAAAAGGTGTAGTCCTTCCAGGAGCATCCAGAAGAAGGCGGCCAGGTAGAGGTAGTGCAGTACCCCTGCAATGATGGAGCACAGCATCTGGAAGGGAGAGAGGAGCTGGCTGGGGCCACCGGCGGCTGCACCTGACTGTCCACCTGACTGTCCTCAGCACGCACCGTTCCCTGGGTGCCAGCTGGGAGTCTCAGTTTGAGTACCTGTGCAATACCTTTCTTGGGAACTTCTGCTGGCCATCGAAATTTGCTCTCTGAATGCACACAGCAGGCCAGAAATACCAAGGAACAAAGGAGTGGGGAGCAGCCGCCAGGGTCCTAATGGAGGAGAGTGTGCTGACAAACTCTCGAGCGCCCTGGCCCTCTGCACATGCGCCCTACACTGCCCCCTGGAGGTCCTCCTGGAATGACCCTCCAGTGGCCACAGCGGAAACTCACCCATCGGTTGGCTTTTCTGTCCGTCTGTCTCATTTCCCCTCTCGGGTCAATGTAGCCCAGATCAGTTCCAAACGAACAACTCACACTCAAATTCCCACTGCAGGATCCATCTTTGCACAGAATATTAGCGAGTCCATGGAGAGCCAGCACACACCCTGCACCGCAGCAGCCTCAGTACAAGTAAATGAATTTTTAGGACAGTCTTACTTCACATTCCATAGATGGGGACACTGGGGTCCCAAGCCAAGGACATTCATAAAAAATAGATACTGGTGAACTTCCAAGCATGTGTCCACTTTTGATCTAGAAACATCTGAAGTACCACACTTTGGAAAGCACTTTACTAATTTACACATATATGTGCACTTTATGTGTATATATATATATATACAGCCTTTGAGGGACGCTTATCCAAATCACAGCACCCAGGAAAGTGGCATTTCCTTTTCTGCTTGAATAACAATCTTATATGTTCAGAAAGGTAGGGGAAACCGTGGTGAGCACAAAAAGGAGAAAATGGAAGACACAGCAGAGAACCAAAGCAATTTATTCACAGTTTCCCGCCAACTCCCCGCTTAAAGAGAGACTGAATTTTTTCTGACTTAATGACTTCCTTTTTCATCTTTGTTTAATTTCATGTGTCAATCTGGCTGAGCCACACTGCCCAAATATATGGCCAAACATTGTTCTAGATGTTTCTGTGAATGTTTGCAGATGGAATTACCATTTAAGTTGGTGAGCTATGAGAAGAAGCAGATTGGCCGCCACAGTGTGGGTGGGCCGTGTCCTATCAGTTGAAAGCACGAGTAGAAGAAAGCCTGGGTGCCCCTAGGCTAGAGGCAATCTGCCAGCAGGCAGCCTTCAGACCAGGATGGCAGGATCCTCTGGGTCTCCAGCCTCCTGGCTCGCCCTGTGGCTTCTGGATTTGACAGCCTCCATAATCCCAGGAGCTCGTTCCGTAAACCAGATCCCTCCCTCTCTACTCTCTTATGCACATTCTACAGCGTCTGTTTCCTGGAGAACTTTGGCCACCACAACCTCCTAATTACCAAGTCCAGCAGACTCTACTTGACCTCTGGGAAGAACTCAGCTCGCCTCGTTGACGGTGCCTGTCCTTTGGCTCCAGGATACCTTCTGCTCAGGAATTCTCCTGACTCTGCTCATCTGTGAATATCTGGGCAAATCTCGCTGTTCTGAGTGTTTAGGTGTTGGTCTTCCACAGGCTCCAGCCTGGATGCTCCTCACATCGCCCTGTACACCCTGAGCTCACCAACGCCCGTCCTGAACTGCCTCCTTTGTGGAGGACACCTGAGGTCACCCACACCCCAGTCTCTCAGGGATGGAGACTCCTGTTCCCAATTGTCCTTGTGTGTCTCAGTCCCACGTCCCCCCAGCACACCTCACTAGCAAATGCGGGCGGGGACTCCTTGTCTTAAGTTTGGGTTTATTTTTGGTGGAACGTGATGACAGGGCGTATCTGTGGGTACAACGCTTACGTTGTGTAATGTGGTCAAAGGTCATCACGTCCGGGTGATCAGCACGTCAGTCACCTTACTCCTGTGCGTGTCTTTGCCGGGAAGGTGCTGACCACCCTCTCCTCCTGTTATTTTAAATGTGCACGGTGCTAGCTGTGGTCACCTTGCTGTGCAGTACCACAGCGGGACTTGGCGTCCCCGAGTCTGTCCCACTGCAATGTCCTCTCTGCCCTCAGACCTTTCGCTGCAGCTTAGTGAACGACATCACCACCCCCCTCACCAGTCTCCCAAACCGAAAGCCTCAGACAGGACACGGCTACTTCTGCTTTCTCCCAAGCACGCCACTTCGGCGCCCATGGAGGCGCCAAGTCCTAACCACGTCACTTTACATTTCTTCTGTCCAACTCGCCCCCCCCCCGCCCCCTCGGTTCCCACTGTGCCACCCCCTAGCGAGCCAGCCTCGCCTCCCCACGTTCTTTCTGCTGCTAGTTTCCTCTCACCCCGTTTTCCTTCGCCTTCCCTGGGTCCACCTGCAGCAGGACCCAAGAAGCTGCCCTCTGGCTTTGGGCCAGCTCCGGCCGGTCATCTGTTTGTGTACCTCAGGTCACTAGCACACACCAGGCCTATGGGCTGGCTACATCCCCGCAGCCATGGTGCCACAGACGCAGGTGAAGCTGCACAGCCCGGGCCACGGGTGCGCAGAGCTGGAGGAGGCACCGTCTGGCCCTGCACAGAACTTGGCCAACCTGGAGGGCAAAGCCCAATCCTGGCCTTTCCGGCTCCAGAGCCATGGACTCCTCACATTCTCCCTGGAGGTTCCCTCGGATGCCCATTCAAACTGGACGGGCCACAGCCTCCTGGAACTCAGAAGGAGGGTGGCCAGTCAGTGAGGAAGCCAGCTGACCAGTGGGCCCGAGGCACAGGCCAAGTACTTCACACACCCCCAAATCCTACACTGACTCCTGCTTCAGATCCTCCAGGCCCGTGGTTTCTACTCCCTGGAAGCCTTTCTTCCTGCCCTTGACCCGTGAGCCCTAGTTTACCCTTGAGAGCCCTCGCGCAGCCCTCGGTAAAGTGTGTCTCAGAGTCTCCGGCTGGTCGTACACTTGTATGAGTCCAGAACTAGACACTTGGGAGCTCAGACCTGCACTTCACGGGCCACACCCAGTATGGAAGAACCTTCTCAACAGCACCAGCTCTTAAAATGTAAAAGCTTAAGACGACAAGATGCCATCTCAAAAGAAAAAATAATAAAGGACTAGGGAGACAGCTCGCTGGTACAGCAGCCCTGGGTTCGATCCCCAGGGCCAAACTGGAAGGAAAAAAAGAGCAGGGTCTCAATACTTTATTTCCATTGGCCGATAGGTCACATGGCCCAACCTCACTGCAAAGGACGCTGGGAAAAGCTGTCAGTCTCCTTCAGTGTCCTCCACACCTGGCAAACTCATCCACCTGATTGCCACTGAGTCACCTCATCTGCACTGGTGGCTTCCTCAGAACCCACAGGGACACAGCACTGAGGCCCTTGTATGTCACCCTGCACAGTGACAGTCCTCTAGGCTGCCTCACACCTTCCTAGGCTGAGAGCTCCCTGTTCACAAAGCAGTTCAACAAGTCTCCTGGCACACAAGGGTTCTCTGAATATCAATGAATGAATAAATTCAATAACAGGTGGGTGACTACAGAGCATTATATAAGAGCAAGACACTCTCAAGATGACCAAATTAGCTGGGCATGGTGGTTCACACCTGTAATCCTAGCAGCTTGGGAGGCTGAGACAGGAGGATCACAAGTTCAAAGTCAGCCTCAGCAAAAGCGAGGCAATAAGTAACTCAGTGAGATCCTGTCTCTAAATAAAATACAAAATAGGGCCAGGGATATGGCTCAGTTGGTAGAGTATCCCTGAGTTCAAACCCCAGTACAAAAAAAAAAAAAAAAAGATGATAAGTTAACTTTATCTTAACTAGAATATCACTTTTATAACTTTGAACACATTCTTTTAAAATCTTATCAGAGTAGTGGCTAGCACTGAGGGTGACCTCTGATCAAACCACCAGTGACTGTCAATGCATATCATAGTGAAATACCCTATGACAGGCTTTTTTGTAAAGGTCCACAAAGAAAATATTTTAGGCTTTTCAGGGCCATCTCTACAATATGCAAACAGATAGGTATGACTGTAATAAAAATGACATTACAGTACAGAGGGTAGGCCAGATTTGCCGGAAGCCTATTTTTTTCCAGTTTCCCCGTATATTCAAATGAGGAAAGTGAGGCCAAAAGAAGCTAAAATCATGCCCAAGGTCACACAGCTAGTAAAAGTAAACTGTATTTGGATCTAAACTATCTCCAGAAACCAATTATTCTTTCTTTTTTTAAAAAAAAATTAAGCAACAAAATGACGAAGCATATATACTTATGGTATATAACAGGGTGTTTTGAAATACATATATATACATAGTGGAATGACTACGTTCATTGACATGTCCAACACTTCACAAATGTACCATCTTAACTGCAGCATTTGTCTTCTCAGGAACAGTAAGTGTGCTTTGAAACCTTCCAGTTGGTGGACCACAGTCTTTGGGGTTAAAAGGAGCCTAGAACCTGTAGTTCTGGTCCTTCCTGATGGTGACTGGGGTGATGATGAGCATGGTGACTAAGGCCAGCTCCGGCCTTCTTCACATTCTTCATGCTCAGTCCTCACTGCCGGAACCCCACACCTAGGCCCCACCGCAGAGGGGAAGTCCAGAAAGGGAAGTCAGAGCAGAGCTGTTGGGCAACACAGTGGCTGCTGAGCAGAGTGACGTGTTGCAGCTTGGAAATAACCAAGAAAGCAGCTTCGCGTCTCCCACATCCAGAACAAGAGCGGCGGTGGGGGTGCATGTCCCTCAGCTCAGCTCAGCCTCGGTCCATGCCATGCGGCCATAGCAGAATCCCACAGTGATGATCACAGCAAACAGAAATGTGGCTCATGGTTCTGGAAGAACCAGGGGCCCACGTCTAGCTAGGGCTCTTTGCTGCATTGCCCATGGCAGAAGGGCAAAGAGCAAGGGGGGACAAACTTGTTCTTTCCCAAGGAGCCACTCTGTGGTAACAGCATTAATCCATGGACGAGGGCAGTGCCCTCCTGGCCTCATTGCTTCTGATAGGTCTCACCTCTTTCTAAATATTTTATTATTATTATTATTATTGATTATTATATTACTGTCTCTTCTGTGAATCGTGCATAGTTATGGGCACAATATGGCATTTTAATACATGTTCACAATGCATAATGATAAGATTGGGGTAATTACCATTTCCATCACCTCAAGACATTTGTCATTTCTTGTGCTGGAACCATTCTAGATCCTATTAGCAGTTTTGAAATATTCAATTAGTCCTTGTCAACCAGTTATTCTACTGCGCTGTAAGGGCCCACCCCTTACACTGTTGCATTGGGGATTCAGTTTCCAAAACTTAAATTGCGGTGGACATGTTCAAACTATAACAAAACCTTTCCTTGATGTGAGTTTCAAAACAACATGTTGTGCACAATAAATGTTACCATTTCCTTTGTTAATTTTAAATAACTTTAAATAAATAAGATGAGAAAGTCACTTCAACAAGGTCATGCAGAAAGTAGGATGATTAGTTTAGATCAGAGAGGCTAGGCCACTGTCCATCAGTGTTTCAGCTGCTCCCGCACCCCTCATTCCAGAGCACAGATCTGTCTCTAGGAAAGGGCTTCCCAGCCAAAAACTACATTTCCCAGAACTCTTTGCAACATTGTGCTACCATGTGACTGGGCTCCAGCCAATGGGATATGAGGGGAAGTGATATGCAGCACTTCCTGGTGCAGTTCATATTAACCTCCCCCTTGGACTCTATCACATGCTTTTTTCCCTTCCCAGTTGGCTAAAATAGGAGACACTACAGGATGTCCCTGGAAGCTGAATGGAAGATAACACCCTCCTTCAGCCTGAGGGTGGTCAGACATCCTGCAGATTTGTCTGCTCACCCTCTGCTGATAGATAGGGAAAGATTAACTCGTACTGTGCGAAGCCTCTGACACTTTGGAGTTCAGTCGTTACAGCAGGTGATGTCCCCTGTCTAACACCATCACTAAATGGGCACTCAGAAAGATGGTCTCAAAGTTACACAGGAGGAGAGATGAACAAGGCACACTTCCCTCTCCCAACACCATTGCTGCTAGTTAACATCTCCTCACTTAGGATCAGACGCTGGATGTGACTCTGACAAGGAGGGAAATCACCCACCTCAGGCTCAGTCCTGTTGATGCCCGTGAGGAACAGGAAGTGGGCCAGGAAGAGGCAGAGGGAGAGCTGCAGGTGGAGCGTGGTACTGGTGTTCTGGATGGGTCGGCACAGGAGGAAGGTGAGGACTGCCAGGAGGAGGCAGAGCAGGGAAAGCCCCAGTCCCACGTAGGTGATCACAGTCAGCACCAGATCCTCCTACAGGCCATCCGAGAGGGGCGTGTTAGCACTCTCAGCTCTGCTGTTGTTTTCCTACAGAGTCATCGGGCTTCCTGGTCCAGTCCCTGAAACAAGCGACTTAACCCAAGACTCGGTGTTTGCAAAACAGGGAGAGTTAGAGCATTTTCCACGCTGGACTGATGAAGAACCAACCACTCACCAGATGGGCACTGCCCAATGGAGGTATTGGACACAGATACCCTGTGTGTTACTGTGAATTTCCTAGTAGCCAAAATGAAAAATGTAAAAAGAAACAGATGAAACTAATGACACTCCGAGTTTGATTGATCGGTTACACCATCCACATTTCACGTATCTGCCTGTGGCTGGTGGTCTCATTGACAGCACAGCACTTGGCCCTGGTCTCCAGGGAAGCTGGCTGGGAACTGGGTCTTGTTCTGTGTCACATCCTCAATGCTCAGAACAAGTCTAGCACCCAAACAGTACTCAACAAATGAATGAAATGAGGCCGTGTATGTGAAGCACACAACACAATGGGAGCTAAAAGGACTAGGGGAAGAAGTGAATTAAGCTTCTTTCAACCTGAGTTATCTCAGACTTGGTTGCGAAATTCAGAGAGCTATGGTGTGTCATCAGTGACAGTCATTGCCTGACTTCTGGTGTGACCAGGGAGGTTTGGCTGCAACCCTCTTTTGCAGGGTAATAGATGCTTTTGATCCCAGATCCCCTTGGACCTCACCTCTGGAGAGGCTGCCAAACCAACTTCCCAGTGGCCGAGGACTTTCCTTTTGGCTTGAGCTCACCCCACCCATGCTTGCAGAAGTGCCCCCCTGAACACAGCTGAAGACAAATGACGACAGTGAGTGTATACATACCCCAGCTCCCTCGCCACTCAGGATGACTCTGAGGTGCATGTCCCACACTACCTCCTGGGTCTCCCAGGGGGAATAAGCTCTGCTGACCACAGTGGTCACTGGCTTGATAATCTTCTCTGCGCTGCCTTCTATCCTTTCCCCATTTCTCTTCCCCAGCCCCTCCTGGTGTCTCTCAGAATCACCTCTCACGGAAGCCACCTGACTCCTTATTTTAGAACCTTTTTCTAAGCTATGCAGAAGATGAGCCCAGAGCTTCCAAGCAAGGGAACTCGGAGCCTTGGTACCTTGGGCGTCAGAGCCACGAGGACAGCAAAGCTGGACAGGTGGAAGCACTTGCACCTGGTGTGGGAATCATTGCTGCCCACATGGAAGCAGCCCTCCGTCGACCAGCTGCCCCCATCCTTTGACCCTTCCCAGTAGACGCAGAGATGCTTTGCCGTCTCACCACCAGGCTGGAAAGAGAAGAGCAGGAACGCGGATGTCTTTCCCGTGTCCCTATTTCAACGTTGTAGCTTCATCCAGTGTATTGAGTTGGAAAGCAGATTCAAAAAACACCTTTGGGGTTATTCTACATTTATTTATTCTCACTTTCTATGGCCAGCTCAGTATTCAGGGCATTGACCCTTAAGAACTGCTTCCCCCAGGGCTCTGCTGAGAGATCCCTGGGTGAGCACAGACAAACGGTGAGTGCCTCCTTCACACTCTCTTTCTGCTCTAAGCTGTCTCCCTCTCCAGTGAGGTGGCCCTTCCTCCTGCCTGCCTCCAGCGCCCACCGTGCTCAGGAACACTCATGCCCCGTGGCCTTCCTAGCTTCAGTAGGGGAACCTTCATGCTGTGGAAGTCCCTAGGGGCCTCAGCATTTCTCTTCTTTCACAACTTCATTGAAATATGTTGACAAGTAAGAATGGTGCGCATTTAAGGTTGCATCACGGGGTCTTACTACGTGCGTACACTATGAAGTGATTGCCAGGACGGAGCTAATTAGCCTATCCGTCCCCTCCCATTTCCTTTTGGGTGAGGACTCTGGAGCCCTGCTCTCTTGGGAGATTTTGACATACAACACATTACTATTAGCTCCAGTTGCCAGGCTGGACTTCTGCCGATGAGGCACCACGGCTCCGGCACTTGCCCACCCTATAACTTCAAGTTCATTCTCTTGGACCAACATGTCCTTCTGCCACCTGGTTCTCTGGTGACCACCATTCCACTCGCAGTTACTGTGAATTTGACTTTTTCTAGATCCCATACCTAAGTGAGATCATGCAGTATCTATCATTCTGCATCTAATTTATTTTATTTAACAAAATGTGCTCCAGGTTGAGGCACGCTGTGGCAGAGGGCAGGTTCCTTCCTTCCTAAGGCTGTACAGCACCCCGTGATATGACCTTCACATTCCCTTCATCCACTCATCTGCTGGTGGACACTGGGGTTGGTTGGAAACAGTGCTGCCGTGAACGTGGAGTGCGGAGGCCCCCTCAGATGCTGAGCTCCGTCCCTCCGTGGATGGACCCATGCTGGGCCCACTGGATCCTGTCCTAGTTCCGGCTTTAATCTTGTGTGGTTCCTTATCCTGCCCCACATGGTTGTTCTGATTCGCGTTCCCACAGTAGTGTGCTCGGCCTCCCTTTCCCCACATCCTCACCGGCAACCATTCTTTCGGCTGGGGATCTGCTCACCTGAGTGTGTTGAAAGGTCAGGAACGTGGGTTCAGACAGGTTGACCTTGTCACCAACGGTGCCACTCACAACCTGGGAGTTCAGCCTGGCTCCCAGCTTCCTCCTTCGATCACTGAAAAAGGATCCGTTCAGAAAATTCCCAAGAGATCGATAAGTGATCAGAGCAACTATGCTCTTGTCTGAGAAAAGAGAGGAGAAGTGGTGTTAGGGAGTGTCCACGTTGCTACCCGCATGTCTGACATCTGCTGTGCACACACTCCCTTGGAAATTCCTTAAGTGGAACATGCACTGTACTAGGAGAGGTGAGGGGTGCACAGACTGGGAAGTGTGAGCATAACGTTCACGTCATGTTTTAATAGGTGTACGTGTAAAACAAGTCCATCGATGGGCCATAAGATGCACATGAGCCCTCAGGCATCAAAAGCAGAGTCAGGTCAGGTGGGGTGCACAGGCCTGTAATCCCAGTGGCTTGGGACTCTGAGGCAGGAGGATCTCAAGTTCAAAGCTAGCCACAGCAATTTACTGAGGCCTTGAGCCTCTTGGTGAGACCCTGTCTCTGGGGCTGGGGCTCAGTGGCTAAGTGTCCTGGGTTTAATCCCTGGTCCAAAAAAAAAAAAAGGCAGGATGCTGGGCCTAGAAGGGAAAGTGGAGAATGGAACCTCAGTCCCCACCTTCCAGGTTCACTCTGGGACAGCCAACTCAGTGGAAAGGCGTGCGGGGCGGCTCATTCCACTAGATGAGCTCCCTCGCACTCTTTTCCTGTTCTCCCCCTCCCTCTCCTCCTCCCTCTCTGTTCCTGTCTCGCGCCCTCTCTCTTCTGCCTCCCTGTTCATGCATGGAAAGTTTAATCCATGTGTTCAAGATGCTCCGCAGCCTGACGGAGCCTCCTAAGCTGCTATTACTCATGGGCCACTTCCCACTTGGGGCCAAAGCCGCTTGCCACCTACATCATCATTAGCTCCATTGTGAGAATCCTCTCATTTTTGCTCCTTTCCTGCCCCACTTCCACCCCAAGCTCACATTAAGGAGCAAAGACTAAAGTGGCCAGGAACTTTCCGGAGTAGGTTAGCAGGCACCTCACTCTCAGAGTAATATCAGGTCTTTCTCTTTGAAGAGGTTTGTATTCATTCTTCATTCCTTCACCCATCAGATATCTATTGAGCATCTACTGTATGTCAGGCATTATGATACAGTCACGAGCAGAACAAAGTCCCTGCCACCGGAGAGTTGGCATTGCAACGGGAGAGATGGACAGTAAACCAACAAATAACTAGAAAGTTCCTACATGATGTAGGGGCTTTGCACAGACCTACAGTGAGGGGTTAGGCAGGGTGGCAAATCCAGCCTGCCGTCTGTTTGTGCAAATAAAGATTTATTGGCACAGCAGTGTTCCTTCTTTGACATATCTGCGGCTGTTTCTGAGTAGTTATGAAACAGATCTCCTGGCCCAAAAAGCCTAAAATATCTGCTGTCGGGTCCTTTTACGGAACAATTTGGTCAACCTGTAAGGACAGCGATAAACTGGGTGTCTGTTTTAAATAGTGTGTTCATAAAACACTTCCCAAAAGAAACAGAGGTTGAGGCAACAAGCAGCCTCCACGGCCAGGAGCTAACTTGTCAGACCACCACATGGAACCGCTCGTGGCCCCATGGGGGTCTCAAGGAAGCGTGGGGGCGGACCCCCGTCCTGACCTCATGCGAGTGACGTCATCCCCCAGATTGCCTGGTCAGTGGTCCAGGGAGATCCCTTCATCCTCCATGCAGATCCCCCCAACTGGAAAACTTTGTGAGTCCCCCCACCCATCGGCCAGGCACCTGGAAATGAGTTAACTCCCAGAATCCGGGGCCTGGAGGATGCGCTTCAGACCCAGTACCTCTTGTGGTGTCCTTGAAGGCGCCAGTGCAGTTGAGGTCCATCGTGTTGTTCCCAGCCTCCAGCACAGTCTCCTCCCTGCACCTCTTGGTTTCATAGACTGGAAACGGCAAGAAAGTGACCTCGCTGGGCTGACCTCGCATGCTCAGAAGCCTGCAGAAGCCCTACTTTGGGGGATTCCCTTTTATGCACTTTTCTCTGTACCAAGGAAGGCTGGGGATGGGCAGAGAGCTGGTCTATTCTCTTTTCCTTTTCCCTCAAATTTATATTTGGAAGAAGAGCCCTACTCATGATGGGTTGTTTGTGTGGCCAGTCTGTCACCCTGGGAGATAACAATTCCATAATCCGTGGGCACTCACTATGCCTGGTCCCAACGCCCTTTATGGTGGCCATAAGGAGTCCACTTAGTATTCCTTACCTAGGTCAAACAGGGGGTTTTCGCCCTTTCCTGGAGAATCAATATTCTTATTCAGTATTTCCAGTTCCACACGCTTAAGTAGGATGGTAGCCTTTTCTGCAAAATCCTTTTGGCTCTTATTTTTCGACAGATCTTCCTTTTAAAGAAATAAAGCTAATCAGACTCTCAACAAAACTTAAGAAATCAGGAACACGCTACATCTGGTTGGGTGAGCCCAGCAAGGCAACCACGTTTGCTGCTCTGCTTCGAGGTGGCGTGGGCCATCCCCCCTGCGTGACCAAGGTCTTCCAATGGCAGCTGAGGCACTATAGACCATCCCAGAGCTTCTCATCTCTCAGGACATCTGGACCTGCACAGTTCCTGGTTTGGAGAGACTGCCCAAGGCGCCCTGGATGTTGAGCAGTATCCTTGGTTTCCATCAACTAGGTAGCCACCTCCTCACACTGTGACAATGAAAAGTACCTCCAGAGAATTCCAAAGGCCCCTGGGACAGCGGGCAGCTTTGCCCCTGTGAGAACCACTCTGTCTGAAAGCCACAGGGAGCCACCGCAGGGCTTGAGCAGAAGAGCATGGTAAGACTAACCCAGACCCAGACTTCACCTCACTCACCCAAACGTTCTGCTGTGAGTTCATGTTTCCATCCTCGTTCTCTGGGGAACAAAAGTAGCCATTAGTTGGGACATGGAAGAAAGCGTCTGGCTCACATCCCTGCTTCCAGTCAGCCTCAAATTGTGCCTATTCCTGACATTCCTCTAAGTCCAAAATGTGTTCTGCAATAGAATTTTAAAAGGGAACTAGGATGGGGCTTCCAGTTCAATCATTCAATCAACAAGATGTATGGAGCAGCTACTTAAAACCCAGCATGAGGCTGAACCACAAGGATACAGTGTAGTCAAAGAGACCCGCGGTGCTCCCTTTGGAACTTGCAGACTGCAGGAAAGTCATTAAGGAGATAATCACAAGTAAGTGATGAAGTTGATGCAATCGATGCTCTTAAGTAGGGTGAGGTGACTTGGGAGCACACTATAGAGCTCCCAATCCCTTGGGGGGTGAGAAAAGGCTTCCCAAAGGAATCAGTGTCAAATAATAACAGAAACTGCTGCCTACACATCATACAGAAGTTTCCTTCACATACACTGTCTCATTTAAGGGAACAGAAGGTTCCAGAACAGGTCTACCTAAGGTAGGACCCAATGTTCATCGAGCCTTCCTGAGTGCCTAGGACTGCTGAGTATTTCACATGCATTAACACCGGAAGGGCAGGTGGGGTGTGCTGATTTGCCAGGGCTGCTGCATGTAACGTAGTGCCACCCACTGTACCGTCTCTCAGTTCTGGGGGTCAGAAGTCCTGTGAAACCTCTTCCCCTTGACTGTGGACTGGATCTGGGGACCTATTCTGATGGACAAATATAGGATGTGCCTTCTGAGACCAGGTTATAAGAGACCCAAACTCTAGCTCCTTCAAGTTCTCGCCTGCTACAAGAAAGAGAAACCCGTGTCTCCAGGTAGTGGGGTCCACTCTCCACAAACCACAGGGAGGAGCTGAGAGCTGCAGCAACATCCTTTAAGAAACGGAATCCTGCCAACAACCTGAGTGAGCTTAGACGCAGGCCCTGCCCCGGCCTAGTCTTCAGATGACACCGTGGCCTGGGTGATTTCTTCATTGCAGCTGTGAGACACCTGGATACAGAGGACCCAGCTAAGCCCTGTTGGGCTCCTGACCCACAGAAACTACGAAGCAATCCATTTCTCTACAGTTTTAAGTGACTGCATTTGGGGGTAACTTGTTATGCCTCGACACATCACTCACACAGTATACTCTGTTGCTATTCCCATTTACAGATTATTCGTTTTGGTCAAATTCCATACATAAAGGAGTCACCACTGAAGTGCAGTCAGCGGAGCTCAAGACATAGAATTATACGAGGACTGAACAAGTGACTATGTTGGGGGCACCAAGAGGTGAATTGCTTCTTTTTGGAGAAAGAAGCTACAAATGAGGGGAAGTCTAGAGCCATCCTTGGCATTGACGGGATTCAGAGTACAATGCAAGCTCACAAGAAGGTGTGGTATACAGACAGACAGACAGAAATAGGAATAGAATTTAAGATCAGTGAGAGGTAAAGAAATGGAGACGTTTAGAATACAACTGGAGATGTCCTGTTTGGAAGCTTGGGAATGAGACCCACATTAGAGACATAAATTTGTAAAGCGTCCACATGAAAATGGTTGACTGCTGCCCCTGGGCTTGGGGACATCTCCTTGTGAAAGATCATCAGGGTCAACAAAGGGATGCGGATGAGTTAGGAGAGGGCTCTAAGCTCTTGCCCTGGCCTGAGCTGTTACAGGAGCACATGTACATGTGTGCGCACGCACACACACACACACACACACACACTCCTTTTCCATGGTAGAAAGCATTTGGGAATTCTCACCGTGACATTCTGCATGTTCAGTATCAGAGGGACCAGAGAGCCAGTGGAAGAAAGAGCGTTGAACCACACAGACGCAGAGGTAATACCCGATCTTTTTACTACAGAACATTTCCTTGCACTTTGCCAACTCGCTCCTACACTCGTCAGCATCTGTGAATCAGGAGAAAATATGTTTTTTATTCTCAAAGAACTATATCATTTTTTTCGCTGCCCAAGGAATCTCAGTTGCCCAACATCGTTTACAAACACCAAATAACATCTCTTGTTCTTTAAAAGGATGAATCAACATTATAAAGATGACTTTAGAATGTTGCACATTTATAAAAATGTGCAAGTGTTTTAGAGAGTGAGAAAAGTCGATTCTATCACGCAAGAGTAACCAGGAAGACTGCAAGGTGGGGAGCGGCTCAGCCCCAAAACTACCATGAACCTCGACCAAACAAGGAGACACTGGCACGTGAATAAAGGAAATGACGGTGGGATGCACTAAGAGGTCCCGAAAGAGACCCAGGGCATATGGAGCTTTATGGGGAACGGAAGAGTAGTATGTCAAGTCGCTGGAGTAAGGGGGTGAGGCTTGTGACGCAGCGTCAGTTTGTGAAATCTACTCAAAACCCATCCAGCAGCAAGGACCTGGAGTCTGGGGGAGGGTGCCCGCTGCTGGAAAAGGCTTCAGCCCAGGGGGGTCCTGGCTTAGGTCCTGTGTGTCCCACCATCTTTCTGCTGACAGACCAGAGCTGAGCCCCCAAACCCCAGGGAGACCCAGACAGAAGCTGCCCTGGGCCAGTGACTGACACTTGTTCTCTCTATCAAAAGGACTCGGGGACAAATCCCCCTGGAAAACAGTGTCCTCACCCATCAGTCTTCTGAGGATCTCCGGGTTTTTTATGGGCTCTGAGTTTGTGCCTGGAGCAGCACAGCTATCACTAACGAGTGGCGGGAGCGGAACCTCACAGTCATTTACCATCACACTTGAGGTAGGATGTGTGGAAGATTCTCCCCAGCCACGAGTACTTGAACCCGTTTCTGCAAACACAGTGGGTGCTGTTGTAGCAGACAGCAGTTTCAGGGCAGGGAGGGCAGGAATCTGCAGAGATCACAGAATCTGATTACTCCTTTGTCATTCATTCATCTGGGAAGTACTCACTCACTGGCCACCTATGATGGACCAGAGGCGCTGGCCAGAAGAATGTGCTCTTGGGAAGCTTTTGAGTGTCCATCTCACTGCTGAGTAGAGAGCTCACAACGCCCGCCCCTCCCACTTCTGCCCCCAACACCAGCGCTGCCACTGCCAACCGCCAGCACTGGTGTTCTGTAAAAAACACCCAGCTTTGTTATTATTTTAAAAAGTAAAAACTGGCATCAGTGAGGATATGGAGAAACTGGGATACTTGTGCACTGCTGGTAGCAATGCAAAATGGCGTAGCCTCCCTAGAACTACTCTGGCGGGTTCCCTAAAATTTAGAATTACCACATGATCCAACAAGAGCTGAAAGCAAAATATCAAAGAGATTTGCCTATTCATGCTCACACCAGCATTATTTACAAGAGCCAAAAGGTACAAGCCACCCAACTTTCCGTGGTGGATGAATGGACAAATAAATGTGGCAGACTCATACCGTGGAATAGTACTCAGCCATAAAAAAACGAAGGACCTTCTAATACCCCTCCAACATGGACATTATGCTGAGTGAAATAAACCAGTCACAAACAGACAAATATTGTGTGATTCTGCTCGTAGCAGATCCCGTGAACAGTCAAATTCACAGAGTCAGAAAGTGTGAAGTGTGGAAGGGAAGGAGGAGCTAGCGGTTAGTGGACAGAGGTTCAGTTGGGAAGATGAGAGGTTCTGGAGATGGATGGTGGGGACAGCTCACAGCAGGAGAGTGCATTAATGCCCCAGAACTGTGCACGATATTGGCTGGAAAGGCCAATGTAAAGGTCCCATCCATACACACATTCCAGGTCCCAATCTCCTTCCTCCTGGCCTTTGGCCATAAACTCACCTCTAGAAGTCTGCGCCTCTGATCCTGATGAAGCCAGCAAGACACTGACAGCTGGAACAGAAAGAGGAGGGGTTAGTTCTGATGGGGTCCCTGGGGTCTTCCGGGTACCGTATGGCTTTGCCTGATACCTGGCCTATGTGCTATCCCCGCCTCAGGTTTCTGAATCTTGTTCATGACTAGCGTGTGTTTCAAAATTCTAAATTTTGAAGACTGCTTCATCAATCCTTCATTTACAAAACACATTTTGGGTCAAGCCTAAGGACACCTCGCACAGTTCTATGTCCTGAAGATCTCTTAGGTTTTTTTCCCCTATAATTTTAGCTTTCTGTTTTGCATGTTCACCAGTGACTCATTTTGAGGCTTTTTCTTTGCATAAAATGTGAGCTTTTGGTCAAGGTCTTGTGATGCTTGGTCTCCTTTGGATTTGCAGTTGCCCCAGAACCATTTGTTGGAAGGGCTCCCTGGGGATCCTACCAAGGAACTTAGAATGTGAGGTTACAACACGACCAGGCACGTGCAGCTAGAGGTGGGAAATGACACATTTAGAGGAGAAAACAAAGCTAGGGTTTCTGCGGCACTCACCTGAGAGCAGGGCCAGACACCTGCTTCCCATAGCACCGGCGACCGGGAGCAGCAATCGAGGGTCTCTGGGGAGGAGGCAGGAGCTCCTGCAATGAGAAATCCCGAGAGAACCAGACTGTGAGGGTCACAGGGGTGACCATGTGCAGAAAAAAGAAGTCACAGACTGTTGGTGGCAGTGTAATTAGTACAACCATGTGGAGAACAGTGTGGAAGTTCCCCCGAAAAACTAAAAATAGATCTAGCATGTGATCCAGCTCTATGGCTTCTGAGTCTGCGTCCACAGGAAATGAACGGCCCACCCAGAAGGCAGCTGGCGCCCATCGCTGTCACTTGCTATGTCGCTGTCCACCATAGCTCAGGTATGGAGTCCCTGGGTGATGGTTGAAGAAACATGGACCATATGCATCACACAATCTTACAGCCCCAACGAGGAAGGAATCCTGACATGTGCAGAGAAATGAATGGAACTGGGGGAAATGAGCCAGACACAGAAAGACAAGTGCCGCATATTTTCTCTCCTAGGTGGAAGCTAAAAAAGTGACCTGAATATGGGGTAGTGACTACTAGAGGTCAGGTGCTGCAGGTGAGGAGAGGGAGGTCACAGGAGGTTGGATCTGATCAGTGCACACTGTCTGCGGGGGTGGAAATATCACACTGAAGCCACTAAAGGACATTAACACATGCTAGTCATGAACAAGATTCAGGAAAAGAGTTCCTCTTCATGGGGACATTCACCCTGGTTTCCTCATCTGTCGATTCATGTGGCTGCTCCAAAGAAGCTGTAAGCATGATTGAGTATTTTTAAAGAATCCTGACCTTTCAGAGACTCGTGCTGAAACATTTGCTGGTGAAATAAAAACATGACCAGGATTTACCTAAAAAATAATTAGGTAGAATGAGTGTTTTAGGCAGCAAGTGGGAATAAAAAGGAAGCAAGATCAGCCGGCAGCGGATCACAGCTGGGGCTGGTGAGGGGTCCACGGGGTTCACTATGCTTTTGTTGCTACATTCGTACATGTTCAGAAGGTTCCAGAAGATGATCATGGAAATATACTACTAAGTAAATAAATAATTACCAAAAGGCAGTTTACATGCTAACATTTGTGAAAAATAGGAGAGGTGAAATAGGAAATACCAGCACACTATAAACGATTAGAAATAGGTATACAAGTATTAATAATGCATTTATGTAACAGGAAAAATATCTCCCCATTTTGCAAAAATGTTAACATTCTGTATACAGTGAGATTATGCATGTGTGACGCTCTGTGCACCGTCACACACACACATGCACAAACAAATGCACTGAATGCATAGCATATTATGCTTCTGTGTTTGCATAAAGTACTCCCAAAGCAAATTCACAAAAGAATTGCCATTGAGAAAGAGCTGTGGATCCAGGAAACTCATATTTCACCATTTGTTTTGCCTCTTGAACCAAATGAAAGTCTTTCATATTCAAAAATTCATTTCTAAAGGACAGAATAGTAGAAGTGCTCTACCTCACTCCCAATGAGCCTTCCAACACTTTAAAAGGCATCTTATTCAGCCATAAAGAAGAATGAAATTATGTCATTTGTAGGAGGATGGGTGGAACTTGAGCACGATATATTACATGAAATAAGCCGAATTCAGAAGTCAAGGGTCTCCTCTCCTAGATGGAAGCTGCAGAGGAAAAGAAAAGAAGTTGTGGGGGATGAACCTCATGAAAATCTAAGGGAGACGAGTAGAGAAAAGGGACTTGCGGAGTAAGGGGGAGGTACAGGAGTGATACTGGCCAGATTGTACTGTTATGTGGTGTGCAGGTGCGGAAATGTAACCACAAATCCCGCCAGTGTGTACAACCGTAGAGCACCAAGAACAATGCGGGAAAAGGCATTGTGTTTGCCTAGTGGGTATCATTATAAAATTTAAAAAGCACCCTCCTGAGAGCATGTGAATGGAGAAAAGTTCTGGTGCATACACCAAGACAAAGTGCTGTGCAAACCTGCTAATCCACCCGAGTGGAAGCGGTAAAGCCGCCCTCGGAGACAGAGACGGAGCTGAGTAGGTGGAAGGGGACCCCACCTGAAGCATTCGAGTCAGGGCTGAGCCAACGGCTGGAAACCGTGAACCAGGGCCACACGGGCTCTCAGAACCACCCTGGACGCACCTGAGATCAGCACAGGACGTAGAGCCCGATAGAGAATAGCACACTTCAATCACGGATGTTAACGGGAGAGGACTGAGTGACTTCATATTTCTTTTTATTCACTGTGATTCTAAATTTTGGGCATTGCCTTAGCAATAAAGCATTCAGTGTTTCCACAGCAAAGGAAACAGAACGAGTTTCAAACACGGTTTCCCTTGGCTGCTGTACCCCCCTCCCTGCTCCTGTTTGGATGGGCACATTCTGCTTTGCTCTCCGGGTTTGGGATCCATCAGGGCCTGCCTGTTGATAAAGCAGTTGTCTCCCAGAGCGTCACCCACTGGTGCTGGCCCCAGGCAGTTCAAGGGCCTCACACATCAGTACACAGGAGATCCTGAGCCCCAGGTCTGCAGCTACAGTTGAGCGGTCCTGAAGTTGTGATGTTGCCTCTGTTATGGTTCAGATATGAGGTGTCCCCCCGCAAAGGCTCATGTGTGAGTCAACGCAAGAAATTTTCAGAAATGAAATGACTAGGTCGTGAGAGGTGTGACCTAATCCCTGGGTTAATCCCCTGACGCACTAACTGGGCAGTACCTGTAGGCAGGTAGGGTGTGGCTGGGGGAGGTGGGTCACTGGGGCTTGACTTTGGGGTTTTATATTTCTCCCCTGGTGAGCAGAGCCCTCTGCTTCCCGGCTGCCACGTCCTGAGCTGCTGTCCTCTACCTCCTCCTTCTGCCATGGCGGTCGGCCTTACCTCGGACCCAGAGCAACGGAGTTGGTAGACCATGGACAGAACCTTAGAAACTGTGAACCAAAATGAACTTTCCCTCTAAATAGTTCGCGTCGGGTATTTTGGTCACATCAGTGCAGCTGATAAAACAGCCTCCTAGCCTTTGCTTCTCATCTGAAAAATGGAGCCAAGAAGAACAGACTTCACTGCATGTGAGATGACCTTCCATAGCATGCAGCACCTGCCTGCACATGGCAAGGACCGAAGAGGACTCGGAACAGTGATGGTGGTGGTGGTGACAGTGGTGGTGACGGTCCTGATGGTGACAGCAGTGATGATGGTGAATGTAGTAGTAATGGCAATGGTGAGGTGATAGGGAGGGTTGTAGTAGAGGGGGAAATCATGGCTATGGCGATGGCAGATGTGACATAATGTTTGTGGTGGTGGTGGTGATGAAGGTGATGGTCGTGACGATGGTGGTATTGGTGGTGATGGTGGTGATTATGATGATGATAGTGATGGTCTTAATGGTGGTGATTATGGTGATGGTGGGGGTGATGGTGGTGATGGTGGTGGTGAAGGTGGTGATGGTGGTGGTGATGGTGGTGATGGGTATTGGTGAAGGCGGTCCCCCTCCCTCTGTCTTGACAAGGTCACAGTGCACTTGTGGGAAACCAAAACCATGAGACCCTTTTTTATGTAATTGGGACTTTTTATTTTATACTCATAAACCTAACAGAAGACATGAGTATACTTACTGCTAAACCAAATTAAATCCTAGGTGGCCAAAAATATAACAGGTGGTTCATGATTTAAAAGGCTGTTTTACTATCTCTCAGGACATTGAGGACAAAATAGAAAAATATCAACAATCATTCTGGGAAAAGCTACAGGAACTTTAGGCACCACAATTGATTATATCAACTAAGAAACCAAGCTCGTATCTTCAGTCTCTTAAAAAGCCTAAGCAGATAGTTATTATGCCTATTGTATGAAGCCCACCATATATAGCCTATTTGATTAAGGATGGGTTATGGTATTCATCCAGGAGAGAAAAGGCTAATAAAAAATATACTTCCCTTCTAATAGACCCTCCTTTACCCTCCCCAGGGATTTATGATAAGCACAGTTAATGTTAGTAGCAGGGGGATTGACATACAGAGCCTGCCCTTAGTTAAAGATTAGAAATATTTAAGAACTGCTGTACTTTGACTAAAGAACAAAGAAACTCTCTGAGAAAGTAGCTCAACCAGTTTTATGAGAATAAATGTAGGCACCTAGAATATATTATAAGATTGTTATAAGGAGACTTTAGATGGGATCTTAGAAATAAAGTACAGGTGTGCTTTAAACTTAAAGGTTAATGACAGGTTGGAGACATAGGGTCTGGTTACGTAGTTTACATCTGTTAAACAAGGAAATGTTACATCCTGGGAAAATCTGAAAATTGTAAATTGATGACACATTTTATTAATGATTCTGTACCCTTAATGATGAGAAAAGGCAGAATAAAAAGAGACTCAGAGAAAGCAGTTTTAGAGCTTTCTCTCTGGAGATTCTCCAACAGGATGACTCCTTGTCTCATCCCTTGCGCCAACACCACTCATCCTTCAGGACCCCCTGGATCCCGCTGGGGCAGGACTCCAGCAGGTGACGGTGATGGTGATGATGGTGATGGTGATGGTAGTCATGGTTGTGATGGTGTTGGTGGTAATGGTGGTGATTATGGTAATGGCGGTGATGGTAGTGGTGAGGGTGATGGTGGTGATGGTGACAGTGATAAGGGTGGTGGTGATGGTCATGTGTCTCATACACCTTCCATGACTCTAATTACAGCCACAACTTTCACACTAAAGACGGATCCCTTACTCACTGGTAGTGGTAATGAGAATTAACAAGGGTCCTATGAAGTCCCCACAGAACAAAGTCATGGTCTGAGGAGGCCCCCGTGGAACCTCTTTTTTATTTATTTATTTTGCAGTTCCAGGGATGGAACCCAGGGCCTCATGCATGCTGGCAAATCCTCTACCACTGAGTCACATTCCCACCCCTTTTCTTAATGTTGTTTCTTTTTTGAAACAGGATCTCACTAAGTCATCCAGGCTGGCCTCAAACTTGCCACCTCCAGCCTTGGCCTCCCGATCATGCCACCAAGCCCCGCTAGAATCCCTGGTTCTTGATGGGCCATAAATCAGCAGCATCTTGTGTGTTAGAATCCTGTGTGTCAATCAAAGTTTGCTACAGATATTTCTCTCAGCTCTTCCATTACCACTTCCTGAAATCATTTCTAGAGCTCCACTGTGGGCCAAGCACCTTATTGAGTGCTCAGTTACGAAGTATTCAGTCAGGTGAGCTTTCTGTCATTGAAATCTCACAACCACTAATGATTGAGATCTTAATCATCTCCCCACTCTCCAGGTGAAGAAATTGAGGTTTAAGGAAACTCATCTCTTGCTTCAAGTTCACTCTGCTAGGAAACACCAAGCTAAGACTCGGATGAAGTCTGCTGGAGTTCCAGAGCTCAGGCAGGACCGTGTCCCTGAGGGCACACGTCCCGGCGCCTAGGCTAGACGCTAACCCGAGACACTAGGGAAAGCCGGAGACCCCAGGCTCTGGCTGGAGACATCTGCACTCACTGATTCCCAACACAGAACCCAGGAGCCCTTGACCAGAGGTGGACAGCTCTTTCCCCAGTCCCCATCTAAACCAATCTAACTAAAGCTAGTGTTTTCATGTGGAGGAGGTGACAATGTAAGTCAGAGCAGCTGAGGCCATTAATGATATGCCTAACTGGAAAAATTCGGGGCCATGATCCCACGTAAACAATCCATCACACGGGGCTGGGCGAGGCGCTCAGTGGTAGCAAGCTTGTCCAGCATGCCGGAGCCCTTGGGTTCAAGGTTAAGTACAGCCAAAAAAAGAAAATTCATTTATGTGATAGAGACAGAGAGAGAACTGAACCAAGTCTCAGAGAATGACCCTCACTGCCTGCAGCCTGTGATGCTTTAGAATTACAGTGCCTTTATTTCCTCTTGTAGCAATGCTGGCGTGACCCACCAGGCCGACCTCACGGCCACGTCTCCAGGGGTCCTCCCCAGCTGGTTCAAAGAGCTTGGCCTGTAAATGCCTCTGTCCATGAATAAAGGACACTGCCTTCCAAGGTGACCCTGGCATTTAATTGTCCTGATGTGTCAACATGGGGCAAGGTGTGTGGAAGCTGTGGATCCCTCACCTGACCTCAGTAGACCTGAGCTTTTAACTCTCTTTCCTCATTTAAACAACAAATTGGCTCTAAGCCACGTTTGCTTTAGACTCTTCTTCCTACAGTCTTGTCGTCTCACCTCTCCTGAAGCCCCTGAACGCACAGCTCGCCTGAATGTGCCAAAGCACCCCAGTAGCTCCCCATTGCCACATAATAACACCCACACTCCTTGACCAAGCAGGAGGAGAGAACACGAGGAAGAGGCCCATGCAGCAACTTTCAAGAGCTAACGTACACGGCGTGGAAGTCCTGCTTGACCCTCCCAGAGCCAGCCAAGATCACAAGCAGAACATCATCTATTTGCCATGGGAAGTTACTAAACCAGGACCTGCTTACCTCAAAGACGGAAAGTCCTTGCTTCTCACCCCGTCGGGTAACTTCTCAGTGCTAGTGAAAGAGGAAGCTTGCCCTACTTATCTCTAGCAGTTTCCCAAG